GTACACTTGTCCTCACCTTTATACCTGTCTTCACCTGTACACTTGTCCTCACCTGTACACCTGTCCTCACCTGTACACCTGTCCTTACCTGTACACCTGTCCTCACCTGTACACCTGTCCTCACCTGTACACTTGTCCTCACCTGTACACCTGTCCTCACCTGTACACCTGTCCTCACCTGTACACTTGTCCTCACCTGTACACCTGTCCTCACCTGTACACTTGTCCTCACCTGTACACTTGTCCTCACCTGTACACCTGTCCTCACCTGCACACTTGTCCTCACCTGTACTGTACACCTGTCCTCACCTGTACACCTGTCCTCAGGTCTCCATCAGTGAACAGAGACTTCGCCCTCAGACTGTCCCGCCTTCTGAAGCTCCTGTTCCCACGGTTACTGAGTCCAGAGGTGGGGCTGCTCGCCCTGCACTCCATAACACTGATGTCCAGGACCTTCCTGTCCATCTACGTGGCTTCTCTGGACGGTGTGTCATTGTTTACACTCACCTGTTTATGCTTTATAACACCTGTTTATAACACCTGTTTACCAGTTATAACATCTGTTTATGCTTTATAACACCTGTTTATAACACCTGTTTACCAGTTATAACATCTGTTTATGCTTTATAACACCTGTTTATAACACCTGTTCATAACACCTGTTTATGCTTTAACACCTGTTTATAACACCTCTTTACCAATTATAACACCTGTTTACCAGTTATAACACCTGTTTACCAGTTATAACACCTGTTTATGCTTAATAACACCTGTTTATAACACCTGTTTACCAGTTATAACACCTGTTTATGCTTAATAACACCTGTTTAAAACACCTCTTTACCAGTTATAACACCTGTTTATGCTTTATAACACCTGTTTATAACACCTGTTTATGGTATATAAAACCTGTTTACCAGTTATAACACCTGTTTACCAGTTATAACACCTCTTTATAACACCTGTTTATGCTTTATAACACCACCTGTTTATGCTTTATAACACCTGTTTACCAGTTACAACACCAGTTTATGCTTTATAACACCTGTTTATGCTTTATAACACCACCTGTTTATGCTTTATAACGCCTGTTTACCAGTTATAACACCTGTTTACCAGTTATAATGCTTGTTTACCAGTTATAACACCTGTTTACCAGTTATAGCACCTGTTTACCAGTTATAACACCTTTTTACCAGTTATAACACCTGTTTACCAGTTATAACGCCTGTTTACCAGTTATAACGCCTGTTTACCAGTTATAACACCTGTTTATGCTTTATAACACCTCTTTACCAGTTATAACACCTGTTTACTAGTTATAAGGCCTGTTTACCAGTTATAACGCCTGTTTACCAGTTATAACGCCTGTTTACCAGTTATAACGCCTGTTTACCAGTTATAACACCTGTTTACTAGTTATAACGCCTGTTTACCAGTTATAACGCCTGTTTACCAGTTATAACACCTGTTTACTAGTTATAACGCCTGTTTACCAGTTATAACGCCTGTTTGCCAGTTATAACGCCTGTTTACCAGTTATAACACCTGTTATATAACACTTGTTTACCTGTTATAACTTTTAACCGGTGCCACCACAAATGAATAAAAAACAGTCACATTAGCGGACCATAAAACCACATTGCTCTATTTTTCGTGAATCAACTAGACTGAACCTTATGGAGACAATGGAGACCAGGCTTCAGTGTTCCAGTACATGTTGAGAGTCAGACACAAGGTTCTGATTCATTTGAGCAGGTTTCTTGTGAACTTGAATGTTGAGGCTTACATCTCCTTCCATGTTGACCAAACAGTCCACAGAAGGCAGCTTGTTGTCGTCAACATCTTCCCTCAAACATGATGTTGATGTCCACAGAGCTGATGTGTCTGGTGAAAGCTTCTACTTCTTTCACTTGGATTTTGACCCAGGTATTGTCCACATCTGTATCTGAACCAGTGGCTTGTTGATGTTTTCTTAAAGGAATCCAGATCTCTCTTTCCCACTTCCTCCCTGTGGAGATTGACCACTGGGATCCCATGGCACAATCATGCTTCAGATCCAACCCTAACCAATAAAAACTGTCATTGAACTTGAAATAAGGGGTAGAAAGACTGAGGTCCAGTAGGGTACAGATCTGATCCAGAGTGAAATTGGTCCAGTTGTTTAATTCATTGTCATGTTGATTCCTTTTTCTGACAGGTTCCACAGCTTCTGAAGTCGTTTTACACATCTGGTTTTTGTGGTTGTGGTTTTGTGTGTCGTTTGTGGTTCTGATTACTGGTCTTGGTTTTTCAGGCATGATTGTCAAGTGCATCGTTCAGAAGGATGCTCAGGCCTTTGTGCTGCAGCTGTCCAAGTGGCTCCTGGTTGCAGTTCCTGCAACATTCATCAACAGTGCCATCAGGTTTCTGGAGGGTCAGCTGACACTCAGATTCAGGAGCCGATTGGTCAGCCACGCCTACCAGCTGTATTTCACTAACCAGGTAAGCCCACTGCAGAAGGAACCAGGGGCAAACAGCATTTTTCATTTTCTATTTCTATGACAGGTCTTAAGATARAAGTTAAAAGAAACAGAAAATGGAAAAGGCTGTTTTACCCCGGGTACCAGGACCTGGGGCTCAAGAGGTTAGTCGTGTTCTTCAGTCTTCAAACTTTGAGACCAATTCTTTCTGCCCACAGACCTATTACAGAGTCAGCAACATGGACAGTCGTTTGTCCAATCCTGACCAGTCCCTCACTGAGGACATTGTCATGTTTTCAGCCTCCGTCGCTCATCTGTATTCCAACCTGACTAAACCCATCCTGGATGTTGTAGTGACCTGCTACACACTGCTGCGCACAGCTCAGGCCAAAGGTATGTGGCTCAATTTAGCAAACAGTCACATGGAACAGGTTCTAAACATGTTCTGTCTCTGCCTCAACCCACAGGAGCCAACACCACGTGGCCCTCKGTCATCGCTGGCCTGGTGGTGGCGCTCACTGCTAAAGTCCTGCGCTCCTGCTCACCACACTTTGGAAAACTGGTGGCAGAAGAGGCAAAAAGGAAAGGAGACCTTCGGTACATGCATTCACGGATCATCACCAACTCAGAGGAGATCGCCTTCTACAACGGGCACAAGGTGAGTGGCTCCGTTAATTGACCCAAACAAAGTGAGTTAGTCCTGTCAGACACCTGTTGGGGTGTGTTTGATTCGTAGGTGGAGTTGGCTCAGCTGCAGAGGAGCTACTCGTCTTTGTCGTCTCATATTAATCTGATCCTGCTGAAGCGTCTCTGGTACATCATGTTGGAACAGTTCCTGATGAAGTATGTTTGGAGTGCGTCCGGTTTAGTGATGGTTGCCGTGCCCATCATCACCGCCACAGGATACTCTACAAATGGTAAATGTTGGTCCACATGCAGTAAATATCTGTGGTGTGCAGCCTTGTGACCTCTGACCTCTATGGTGTGTACAGACTCAGAGGAGGTGAAGCAAGCTGCGATGGAGATGAAAGAGGAGGAGCTTGTAAGTGAGCGCACGCAGGCTTTTACTACAGCCAGGAACCTCCTTAATGCTGCGGCTGACGCAGTGGAGAGGATCATGAGCTCATATAAGGAGGTCAGTAAGCCACGCTTCCTCCTGTCTCAGGCACCTAGGATGGAGTCATGGGACCTGCACTCAGCTGCAGGTGTCTGCACTCTGTGCAGGTGACTGAACTGGCAGGTTACACTTCACGAGTCTCTGAGATGTTGGATGTGTTTGAAGACGTGAATCAGGGAATCTACCGCCGATCTGCAAACAGGGATGAAGAGTTGGTAACCCAAGAAGGAGAGGGAGGAGCAGCTGCAGTGATCCAACATGGGCAGCGAGTCTGTGGTCCGCTGGAGATCAGAGGTCAGTTCATTGAGTCAGCTGATCTGAAGCACATTGATCACTTTTCATCTGCTTCTTTGTTTGTTGTCTGATCTGTCAGGAGCTTTGAATCACTGCTCTTACAGTCTTTGAAAAAAAATCTGAGTATGCATCAGGAGTTCTGATTTTCAGTAAGCTAAACTTAAGTACATTCATTAAAAACAGCTACCCCCCCCAAGACTTTAATTATATTTAGTTTCAGCAAGTGTTAAAACTCAGTCCTGTTTAGCCGTGATATTGGGCCAAAAAATCCAACATGTTGAATGTCCCCGATTTGTGGTCACCACCTACGTAGGGTTGGATACTGAACTCTGTTCCAGTATGGCACCTGAACGAACATCAACGGTTGTACACAGATCGAAAAACAACTCTAACTTCTGTGCCTCAAAGAAAGCTGTTAAACTGCGCCCTCTGGTGTTCACTGTTAACAGTGACAGCCTCGGCCCACAATCTCCACGGATGCGGTTCGACTCGGCTCGGTCTCGGCCAAATGCTCCTCTCCAACCGCGCTCCACAGCTGCGCTGTCTCAGAACCTCCTCTCCAGTGGTTCAGGTAGAAGTGAGTACAGCACACTTATGATTTTAATGTCAGCAGAATTCTGCCCGTGGATTAACTCTTGGATTGACTGACAGCAAATTTCCTCCTGGAGAGAGCTGCTTTTGTTTAGGAATATGAGCGCTCTGCGCGACACGATGACATGGTGAAATAAAACTGCCTTTTTGGGAAAGGCAGAACTTGTAAACACTTCCTGGAGAGAGGTGAAGGAGACGAAGCTGAGCAGATCAACAAACTGTCCGCCCACAGTT